AGTCCCCCAGCAGTTCTGTCCCAGGAGTCCAGATTCAGCCGCTGTTGAAACCGATCAGCGGCTGATTCCAGGAAGCCAGGGGCAGAGCAACTCTGCCTAGGGCTTCCTGTAGTCAGCCGCTGATCAGTTTCAGCAGCAGCGGCTGAATCTGGAGCCAGTTCCAACTTACATACAAATTCAACTTAAGAACAAACCTATAGTCCCTATCTTGCACGTAACCCGGGGACTGCCTGTACATGCAAAGGAAGTTTGTGGATTTTCCATTATTGAACACAGACCCCTTTGAATAAAAACATTGGCTGGCTAGCGCACTACTTTCCACATCCTAATGACTTAACCAACTAAACAATGGGTACTTAGAGTAGATGCAAATTGTTCTTATCAGCTTCTTGTAGCTTGAACACTCTAATTCACTATTTTCCCCCTTTTTCTGCCCCCCCTATTTATTCTTGGATCTGGACTTTTAATACTCCGTTCATCTGAAGAAGTGGGTTGTGCTCATGATACCATCCACATATCTTGTCAGTCTTTAAGGTGTTGCTAGACTATTCATTGTTTAAGTTTTTCCAGTTACAGACTAACTCGGCTCTCCACCGAAGCTTTTGGAGTTACTACAGATAGACATAAGTGTAAATGAGGGCAGAATTTGCTCCTACAGTATTTTTTCTCCTCAGTTGCTTTAGCTACAATTAATTAATTGTTAAAAGCTGACACTTTGCTTATCTTTGTTCAAAAGCAATAAGTCAAGACAATCCTGGTACAAAAGAGTTTGTAGTCAAAGATGCGAAGATAACGGCTTATTGAGAAGCTCAGAGGTGGGGTGGGGAGTGGCTCTTTTCTTACGGTCATCACTGATAAAGTTAATCTTTACGTAAAACTAGGAAGGGTGATAGTGTGGCAAATTCTAATAGGCAAAATAAGCGTGGAAAGTAGGAGAAGGCACTTGCTAAGAAGACAATGAGTATTAAGATTTCTTCCCCTTATTTTAAATATTTTCCATGTCAATGTGTTCCTCATTTTCAGATTCAAGTTCTGAAAGTACTCGTGAACTTATCTGCAAACCCAGTCATGACAAGACATCTTCATAGTGCTCAAGTAAGACTTCTGCCATTTTCAAACTGCTTCAGTACTGAACATTTTAGTACAAAAGTTCATGATGCTCTTGTTAAATCTACCCTTCAAATTGTATGACTTTTAAACAGCTGTATGTTTAATGTTGGAATTTTATTTTGCATAGCCACAGGCTAGGGTAGCTAAAAACATGCAAAGTTATCCTAAGTAGTTTTATATCAAAGATATCACATTCACATATGAAGATTCATGCAAGTGCATGGTTAATGTGTCCACTATATGCCCACTTCCTGTACTATAATGCAGAATGGTTGGTAGTTTGTAGAAGCCCTTGCTTTCCATCCCTCCTCACCAAATAAAGGCATTGGTTGCTGCTCAGATGTGAGACACACACAAGAATATACCCAATTGATAATTTCTCACCTTGGTTCATCTCCAGTAGGAACATATGGCTTCAGAATGTGCTGCAAATCCTTTCAAATGGATCCAGCATTGCAAATTACCCTCACTTTCTCAACAACTGTTGTTTCAACTGTCATAACTCTTGCATTTGCTACCTGTCTCAATTTCAGTATATCCAAAACATCTCTATCCTCATACACAGGTACTGTTTTGATAAGATGACATTTATGAACACAGTACCCTCCAAATGCAGCTCCCAAGGCAAATTACAGTTTTGTGAGGCACTGGGCCAAAGCTGATGGGGACTTGTCCCACCACTTTTGCCTGCAGTTCCCCTCAGTGCTCCTGCCAGGAAAAAGCAGTCATGCCACAGGAAATTGCCCCACTCTGCCCATCCAGCATGCCTGTTGTGGAGAGGAGTTGGGACACTGGGGGCTTCCCCTGCTCCCTGGCAGAAGCGGCAGATGGGAGCAAACCCTCTCCCAAAACCTCACTCCCCGACAGGAATGCTTGGCAGAGAGAGCAGATTGGGGTGCCCATTTTTTCTGCCCCCCACCATCAGTTAATCAGGACCCCTGAGCATGGAGTTGTCGGGGGGACGCCCCTGACGGGGGTTGCGGCCCCCTTTTACTGGCTCGCGTCTTGGTCCAGGCCCTTCTCTCAGGGCATATGCGGTACCCAAAATCCCAAAAGTTTCAGCCCCTCTCTCAGGGCATATACGGTACCCAGGCCTAGTTCTGGGGAAAAAGCCTCTCCTGGCCCGAGTGACTCCCCAGGTGCGGCAAAGGGTGGTAGGGGGACCCAGGCCCTCCCTCTCCACTGGGTCCCGGCCCAGGGCCCTGTGGGCAGGGACTCTAGGTCCTGCCGGCTTGGTGGGGAATCCAGCCGCTACGCACCAAGCTGGATTAGGAATCCTCTGCCCTGGCACCCCCCCTCCCAGCCTGTCCGTCTGGGCGGCGGTCCTTACCGGGGCCGTAGTTGGCAGGGCAGGTGTGCCCATTACTCCGCGGGGTTGGGGTCGGCTTCACTCCCAAGGTCCCACGCTAGCCTTCAGTTGGATCCAAGCTGCCGCAGGAACACTGAATTTGCAGCCTGGCTCCTCCTAACCTCTAGCTGCTCTCCTCCCTGCTGGGCCACTGCCTGCTTTATATACTGGCCTGGCTGGGAGCATGCCCAGCAGGGCTGTAAGGGCGGGGCCCTTTCAGCCAGCTGGGCCTGGGCTACTCTCAGCCCTTTAGTGTGGGGCTTGTTTGCCCCATCACAGGGTCCCATTGGCCCAGTGGCTATTCTGCCACTGTCCCAAGGTCTCTAATTCATGTAGTATTTTACCTCCCAGCAGCTATCTGTGCCCTCAGCACACAGCTGGTTGCATCCATTTCAGCTATGTGACATTTATTTACAATGTCAACAAATGAAATCTAAACCCCTTCAAACTGGCTTTTATATGTACATTGTTTTACCATCCTCTGACCTTCTCAAAACAATCAGACAACACAACATTTAGGTTTGGCATCCCATTTTAAAACCCCTTCGTGGGAGTCGCAGGCACAAACGACTAATCTGCTGTCCTCCAGATAACATGTCTGTCTTCAGCTCCATTATTAGGATGTAAGCAGCAGATCAAAGTAAAAAAACAAACAAACAAAAAAGACTGACTTGTTCTTGTTGAGGTTCCATTTCATCTGACCATGTACTGCAGTTTTTTCAAGAGACACTGTAAAGCTAAATGTTTCAGAGGGGTAGCCGAGTTAGTCTATAACTGGAAAAACTTAAACAAGGATGGAGTGTTTCAAGGGCTTTGTCAAAGAAGAGCATTCTTAATCTGAGCACATCATTCTCATCTGTGGAGATGGCATGCAAGGCCCGATTTTCCCTTCAGTTCCTTCGTACCACCCTCAGTCATAGATGGAGCACAATCTCCTGTTTCCTTTCTTGTGAATGAGAACAGATTTAATTAATCAGTTATAAATCTTTTGGTTAGAGTTTCTAGGTTCCGTTTTTTTGTTTTTTTTTAAACCCTCTTAATGTAAATAGTTTCCCCTCAAACTGTTGAGAAACACCATGGCAAAACTGGGCCTCAAATGGCGCCCTCACTGAGAGACTTCATAACACTAAGGTAGCACCAAGCTAAACCCTGTTTTTAAAAAGAAAAAAAAACAAAAAGAAGAATCAAAACAATACCCGGTTCACCTAGATTTAAGAAATATGACCCAATGCCCATTTCAGATGGCAATGGGTCTTATATTTGATACTTGGTTGAGGTGCATGTCCCTCAAAAATGCATGCATTGTTGCAGCATCACAGCCAGGGCGCGAAAAGACAGGGTGCTCAGATTAAGAATGCTTCTCTTTGATGAAGCCCTTGAGCCCCAAGCAACCAAAAAGAGGAATGCTCAGCAAGAGACCTCTAATAAACAGAAGGAATGTGCAAGTTCTTCCCCTAAATCTCAACCAAGAAAGAATGTCTCTCCAGCCCATTCCCCGCCTCCAAGAATCAGCACTGGAGACAAGTTGGGCATGTCCTGCACCGGCCACCCCCATGCTGCATCAATTGTGGACCCTAAACCAAGAACACGGTAGTCAATAGCACCAAAGCCGTGGATGGACCTGAAACTAGATAACATCATGGTGCCGCCGACACCGTAGGTGCTGAGCCAGACCTTGGCACCAACAAAAGCTAAGGCTCAATCCACGTGGCTACTACTACACTCACCAAGCCCGGAAGTGTTGCCTTCCCCATTGATGCCTCCTCTATCAGCACCTAGGTTACCCGCACTGTGAGAGTCTTCTAATTCTCGGCATTGCTCGTATCACAAACGTTGTACCAACTGACGGCGGCACTGCGGTCTCGATCGCTGCTTCATGAATCTCGCATGCAATGTTCCCCGTCTCCATCACTGACTAGATACCCCTCTGTTTGCTGAGACCACCAGTTCTCTCCTACTGCTCGGAATATGAGGATGACTAGAGGAGTGTGTTTTCCTCTCCAACCAGACTATATAGTCCTTATGACAGACACCATCCACGGTACCATCACCACCCCCTTGTTACTCTGAATGGTGCTATCTCCCTTACTACAGAGCATGGTGATCACCAGGCAACAATTGTGTTCCATCACCACATCATTCCATGATGCTGTCCACAGGCCCTTACCACAACCATCTTCTCATAGCCCTCCTCCACCAACAGAGAACCCAGATATCAGAGGGACAGCTGATGTCAGACCATGAACCACACAATCCCTCACCAACAGATGACAAATCGTCCTTTCCTGATGAGGCGGTCATTCCAGATGAAAATGTCCCCAACCGACAACCTGAAACTATTTCATGAGCTTTTCAAAAGGGTTGCTATCAGCCAGGAGATTACTTTGTCCAACATTTCAATGCCATAAAAAGTCTCGCTTCAATTGTAATTTCCAACCCCACTGTGACAATACTTACCTGCCTTCACCTCATGGGGCATATAGTAGTCACAACTTACATGGTTCCTTAAGCGCGTCTCCACTTTCATTGTCTCCAACGCTGTCTCAGTGTATACCCCAGATAAGCATCACGTACATAGACAGGTGTCCATTACCCTGAAAGTTATCGAGTCATTATGCTGGTGAGCTGACCCAGGGAACCTCCTCGTTGGTGTTCCCTTCCACCAGCCACAACCATCTATACAAATTACCATTAAGGCCTCTCTCCTGGGCTATTAGAGTTCTTTGAAGGGGGTCAACAAAGATGTGGACAAGAGGGATCCAGTAGATATAGTGTACTTAGATTTCCAGAAAGCCTTTGACAAGATCCCTCACCAAAGGCTCTTACTTAAATTAAGTTCTCATGGGATTAGGGAAGATCCTTTCATGGACTGAGAATTGGTTAAAAGGAAACAAAGGGTAGGAATAAATGGTACATTTTCAGAATGGAGAAGGGTAACTAGTGGTGTTCCCCAAGGGTCAGTCCTAGGGCCAATCCTATTCAACATTCATAAATGATCTGGAGAAAGGGGTAAACAGTGAGGTGGCAAAGTTTGCAGATGATACTAAACTGCTCAAGGTTGATAAGACTAAAGCAGACTGTGAAGAACTTTGAAAAGATCTCACCAAACTAAGGGTGTGTCTAGACTACAGGGTTTTGTCGACAAAAGTGGACTTTTGTCGACAAAACTAAACCTGCGTCTACACTACCGCTGAGTTCTGTCAACATAACGTCGACAGAACTCAGCAGTTTTGTCGATGCTGGTAAGCCTCATTTTACGAGGAATAACGCCTTTTGTCAACAGAGTTCTGTCGACAGAAGGCATTATTCCATCTAAACTGTCCTTTGCGTCCACACTGTTATGTCGACACAGCAAGCTGCTTTTTTTCGACAGAACTGGATGTAGTCTAGATGCTCTTTGTCGACAGAAGCTTTGTCAACAGTATCTGTCGACAAAACTTCTGTCGACAGAACCCTGTAGTCTAGATGTACCCTATGTGACTGGGCAATAACATGGCAAATGAAATTTATGTGGATAAATGTAAAGTAATGCACATTGGAAAAAATAACCCCAACTATATATATAATATGATGGGGGCTAAGTTAGCTACAACTAATCAGGAAAGAGATCTTGGAGTCATCGTGGATAGTTCTCTGAAGACGTCGGTGCAGTGTGCAGCGGCAGTCAAAAAAGCAAACAGGATGTTAGGAATTATTAAAGGTATAGCGAATAAGATGGAGAATATCTTATTGCCCTTACATAAATCCATGGTATGCCTACACCTGGAATACTGCGTACAGATGTGGTCACCTCATCTCAAAAAAGAGATACTGGCATTAGAAAAGGTTCAGAGAAGGGCAACTAAAATGATTAGGGGTATGGAATGGGTCCTGTATGAGGAGAGATTAAAGAGACTGGGACTTTTCAGGTTGGAAAAGAGGAGACTAAGGGGGGGATATGATAGAGGTATATAAAATCATGAGTGGTGTGGAGAAAGTGAAGAAGGAAAAGTTATTTACTTGTTCCCATAATATAAGAAGTAGGGGCCACCAAATGAAACTAATGGGTAGCAGGTTTAAAACAAATAAAAGGAAGTTCTTCTTCACACAGTGCATAGTCAATCTGTGGAACTCTTTGCCAGAGGGGGTTGTTAAGGCTAGGACTATAACAGGATTTAAAAGAGAATTAGATAAATTCATGGAGGTTACGTCCATAAATGGCTATTAGCCACTATGGGTAAGGAATGGTGTCCCTAGCCTCTATTTGTCAGAGGATGGAGATGGATGGCAGGAGAGAGATCACTTGTTCGAGTCACTCCCTCTGGGACACCTGGCATTGGGCACTGTCGACAGACAGGGTGCTGGGCTGGATGGACCTTTGGTCTGACCCATTCTGACCATCTGACCCATTCAGTATGGCCATTCTTATGGGCAGGAGAGCACATATGTACCATCACTGTGCTCAGGGCAAATGGACAACCCAATGTCACCACCATGTTCTATATCTGTCACCAGGATGGTGCCTGTTCTTCATCCTTTTGTGCAGAGGCCTTGTGCCTATGGAACTGGTGTATTAATAGCTTCAACCTCGTTGCATTGTACCTCCTGTGGATCAGCAATACAACAGTGGACACTGTTAGCACTTTACAACAGACTATGAATAGGAGAGCCACACAGAAGTCATACAGAACATATTTTTTCACTGGGGATTTCCAACAGTAGTTCTCTTCGTGACTTACTGGAATGCCTAATGTCCCTAGTACTGCTCCAGAACAGGAATAGGACCAGACTCACTAGGGGACGCTTTCCTAATCATGTGGCATGTGCCCTTCTGTTACACATTCCCTCCAATACCCCTCATTCCAAGGGTCATCAGAAAGATCCTGTCAGACAATGCCCGAGTTATCCTGCTATCCCCAGCGTGGCCCAGACAGACTTGGTTTCCCTATCTCTAATGTCTCGTTGACCTCCTTACACCCTTCCGATTTGCCTGGACCTCCTGTCTCAGAAGGCAGGTGCCCTCCTCCATCCTCAACCAGAAACACTGCATCTCACTGCATGGTTTCTTTTTTCCTCTCCTCTTCTAAGTAGTGAGGGAAGTGTTACTTCAGACTCAACGACAGACTACCCACAATACTTACCCGCACAAGTGGAAATGTTTCACAACATGGTGCCATGGGAGGGGTACCCAACCAGCCTTTGTTTCCCAAAATGCCATCCTTGATTATATTATGTATTTCAAGCACAGGGCCTAGCACTCGCCTCTCTTAGAGTACATCTTGCTGCTATGACAACCTTTCACCCTCCAATAAATGGCTTTTCATTATGTGCATACCCGGTCAATAAGGCATTTCTCAAAGGATTACAAAATCTTTAGACCCTTGGCCCCCATGTGGAACCTGGAACTGTTTCTTGACTCATTACCCAGACTGCTGGTCGAACCCTTAGCCACATGTTCGCTCTCACTATTAACAGTGAAAACAGTATTCCTAGTGGCAATAACATCAGACACACAAGTTAGTGAGATTGCGGCCCTGACAGCATCTCCACCTTGCACAATGTGCCACAAAGACAGAGTGGTCTTCCGACCACACCCTACTCTCTACCCAAAGTTTGCACAGAATTCCATGTCAATGAGCCCGTTGTCCTCCCTATGTTCTACCCGAAGTCTCATAAGTCCTGTGAGGAGGCAGTGTTACATACCTTGGACATACGCAGAGCGCTGTCCTTTTACACTGACTGAACACAGCCTTTCTGCAGCTCAAACTCTATTTTCTCAATTGTGGAATGCTCTCTGGGACCACTTACCATCCCACTTGGGGCTGAAGCAGAAATCTGAGAAACTTAGTTTAGTGATGGCCCCTATTGTTTGAGGCTCCAGGCAGTTGCCCTACTTGCTACTCCCTAATGCCAACCCTGACTTTTCTATGTAGAAAACCAGTTTTTGTGGCAGAGATGGACCATGGAGTTTTTATAGCATTTTGTGGGGGCCTCAAAGAAAAAGATTGAGAACCCTTGATTTAAATGACATCACATTGGCAGGATGGATAAACATGCACTGCCATTGCCCATTCTGTGTCTTGTCTATGGATAAGCATACTTCATTGCAGGTTTTTCAGTCCAGTATCTTTTGCTAGTCCTGCAAATTAGGATAGTGGGATGTAATTGTGATTACATCTTTAGGCTAAGTTTTTGAAAATGAAATTAAAAAATTAACTGTATTTGGTCTTGCCCCTGAAATTTTGCCTGAATCAGTATTTGAATGGCCACAGTTTGGGTACATCTAGACTGCAAGCTTCTTTTGAAAGAGAGCATCCACACCTCAAAACTGGATTGAAAAAGCAATCTGCTTTTTCGAAGGAGCGTCCAGACTGCATTGACACTTTCTCGAAAGACAGACCTGATTGTTATTCACAGAATGGCCACCAGGGCACCTGTGCTTTTTTTGATTGCCTCATCTTTCGAAAAATGTCCTTGTTTTGCATCCACGCATGCCTTTTTTCAAAAGAGCTCTTTCGAAAAAGGTGTTCTTCCTCATAATTTGAGGTTTACCAATGTGAAAAAAAACCCTGCGTTCTTTCAATTTAATTTCAAAAGAACACGATTGCAGTGTGGACACAATGAAGTTTTTTTGAAAGGGCTGTTTTGTCGAAAAAAACAATGTAGTCTAGACATACCCATGCTTATTATTGTACCAAAATTGTATCTTTAGCCTGTCTGCACTTTAAAATACTTGACAAACTTTGAGGCAATTAAAATACCATTAGAAATAAAAGCAGTATTCCAGCTTTTAAAAATGAAAAAGGGAATTTTCCAATCGCATTCTAGAGATTCAGAGAACAAAGCATGTGTCAGGCTGCAAAACATAAACTAGTGTTTTATAAAAGGAAAAATGTGCAAGTCTGACATGTTTTTAAAGCACATAGTAGCTGTAATGACTGCCGGTATAAATAGGGTTTCTGTTTGAGTTGGAAGTTGTCTGGTATGTAGCTCAATTTTTATTTATTTAAAGAAAACATTTGTTTTTGAGGGGGGTTTACATGAAGAATTCACACATTTAATTCTCAACTGATGATTAAGAATGACTTTCATGTATTTAATGTCATAGGCACCATCATTGCTGTCACTTTTTGACAACGGCATAAACAAAGATATTCTGCTTCGAGTCTTGACTTTTGCTGCAAATTTGAATGAGAATATGAAAAATGAAGAGGGCATCATTACCCAAGATCGATACAGTGAAGATTCAATTTTTTTTCTGCTTTCTGGGCATTCTACCCAATATGCTCAGAAACTGTTAGGTTTATTGCATCACCAGGATAAAGAAGTGAAAGGACAAGCTGCCAAAATAATAACACTGCAAAGAGGAGATATTCAGAGCCCTAATCCTCTGCTCTTATTTTGCTGAGCATCATTACATTACTGTCAGCAAGACAGCTTACAATGCATTTAAAACAAGGTTAGAGATTTTTTCAGAGTAATGTAAAACAATGGTCTCTCACTTTGGGGTGTGGAAATATTTACACTTCAAACAAAAAGTAAGCCATGAAACAATGAACTAAACCTTTAAAAGAATGAACATTAAAGAGACCTGTTAATGTTGCAAACAGCACACTCATTTATCATGCAGGTGTGAACATTCACTCTAGGCTGTAATGTGTCAGATTTACAGCATTTAATGTAACTTTAAATAAAGGTTAGATTACTTACATTTTGCTAATGTAATTCTATTAAGTTTACATTATACTTGAAATAAAATATTGGACTATTTAATAAGAAATTAATCCCTACATTATTGTTTGGGAGAGAGCATAATTAAATTATATAAACATCTTTTGAAGGAAATTAGAAATAATTTTAATGAGTAGCTTATAAAGTTTATATTACCCTCTAATTGCAAAGTGTATCCACTCAAAAAACAAATGCAGATACTGTATTTGAATATAGACTGTAGAATATATAGTAGAAGACAACTTGTACTGAAACAAGGTTGCTAAAAATCCCTAAGCAAAAAATTATAGCTTTAGTTGTGCCTCTATAGTTAAGGTTGCACCACAAGTACTGTTTAAAGGTCAGTCCTTCTAAATCCTTTAAAATCAACATGCTTAGCTAGATTCCTCTGAAATTTGGTATGCTTTGACCAGTTTGGCCTTTAGCAGTGAAGAACATGGCTATTGATGTGGAGCTATAAACCCCAGGAAAAATTTACCAATTTTCAAAAAGCGTCTAGGGGCTTTTTTTTTTTTTTTTTTTAAACACAGAGCTAAGCTAGGGCTTTTGTGATGTGGATCAAAATAGTCTCAATTGGATGAGTTTTACACAACCTACTAAATCTTGGGGGGAGGGGAGAACACACTCCCAAATAGTATTGAAGAACTTCTATTTGCAGTGCAAATCCATGGATATGGAAAACCAGCCAGAAGGTTTCTATTCCTGCCATTTTATATGCTTTATAGCTCAATTCTTGTAACTGCTCTAAAATGTGAAAGGTGATTTAAATGGCTTCAAAATTTGGTGTGCTCATGGGGACACAATTAGTGATCCAAACTTGGAGTAATGTGACCAAGGGGTTCCTGAGTTACAGACTCTGTTCCCTCAATAACTACCTTTTGCTGCCTGATATTGTTAAACTGAAGTCCTAATGACTGGATGACTCACAGACCTCATTAAAATTGATGACTATGCACTCAGCCTTCAATTAATATAGTCAAGGATAAGTAAATCAAAACCGCCAACAACCCCTACCCCAGATGTACCTGGCATTGGCCACCACTGTCAGCAGACAAAAATACAGAGCTATGTGGACCTTTTATCTGACCCAATATAACTATTCTTGTGAATTTAGCATCCAGTGCGCACACAGAAGCCAAACAAAACAAAACAAAACAAACAAAATCTATACCCTTCAAGTCAGACTTGTGTTTTAGAGTAACTAATAATCCTGTAAGTAATATAGCAACTTTTTACAATTAAATGTGAGGGAAAATTACAATCTTCCTGACATCAATAGGCTTTATTTTGTAAATCAGTATAGCAATTTAATACAGATGCATTTAGCCAAGTTTTACAATACTGCATATATTTTGTAATTCCACAGCATGCTTAGTAAAACCATACGGAAGCTATGAAAAGTCTTCCATAACTCATGCTCGAGACAGTGCCATCAGTGTCTCTGCTTATTTAAAGGGGGAAGGGAGGCTGAATCATGACTTTAAATAAAAGCATGAGTTTATGTACTGCATTTGATATGGAAAACCAATCTCAAAACAATAGTAATATTCAGACCTATGATAAAGAGTAACTTTAATACAATGAAAGCACAGATTCTGGCCAGCAGTAATAGTTTTGCATTAGTGTTGCAAATCTTAAGTAATACATCTTTTTAGAAAGGCACATTTCTTTAGAATCATTTTTAAACTCTTCTTTAGTTTGTCATTAAATTAAAACAAAGGCATTGAGCAAAATCGGTATTTTACTTTAAACATGCTTTTGCAACAGCTGGAAGACTCCATCTCAGAAAATCAAATATAAAAATTTTAAAATAAAACAAGTATATTGATTTTTTTTAGTTGATGGAAAAAGTTGAAATTACAAGGCATTTATCAATTAATGCCTTGTGCATTAGCCAGTGTTTAAATGACCTCTCAATATGCCATTCAGTTTATAAGCAACTGTGCTGTGATCAAGCAAGTATACAATTTTTAATCTCTGAAATTAGTGAACCTGGAGACTAAAAATCCAGTACAAATTTTTAAAAAGCTTCATAACCCGATAATGAAATGATCTTTTCATTATTTCCTAATACAAATCAGAACAAGGCTTGTAAAGGATTGCCACATTTTAAAAAAATTATTCAAGTCCATCCTCATTTGTGTTCAAGTCTCGTGATTCTCCATGCTGCAAGATAAAGAAATCCTCAGGTTTCAAGCCATATCGTTCAAGGGCTTCATTCAGTTTAACTGGAGGATCCAAGTAATACTGAGGATATAGAGTTTAAAAAAAAAAAAAAAAAAATATGCCAACATTAGATAAAAGATGGCTTTCAAACTTGACACAAACTGGTTCCTATTTTCTGAGATTAAGTGAACATGAGAGTTTGGAGCTTACTGGAGTGGTTTGTTAATTACTTAACACCCCCACTGAAATTATACCCATTAATAACAGATAATGTTTACAATAGTAGCTAAATATGCATCGGATACTAAAAGTCAATATTACCTCACACCCTATTGGATAAAAGTTCTTAAATAAACCAGGATGAGGTCACTCGTGAGATTGGACTATGAAAAAAGTTAAGTACTTGAGGAAGTGGTGTTGGTGATTTAGTACAATGCACCTTCTTTCCAAATTTTAGTAAAATGCATTCCCTGACATATCATTTACAAAAAGACTTATCTCCCACATTTTAAGGTGGAGTTTAATTGCTCAAGCAAGCAAATTATTTCAGTTCTATATTCTGTGAAAATGCAGTATTAGATTTTTAAAAAGAAATTTTGATAATATGAACTCTCAATCTGAAAAGTCTGAGAGGGTAGCCCTGTTAGTCTGTAACTTTAAAAACAATGGGCAGTCCCGTGGCAACTTAGAGCCTAATAAATGTATTGGGTCATGAGCTTTTAAGAAGTGAGTTTTACCCACAAAAACTCATGACCTAACAAGTTAGCCTCTAAGGTGCCACAGGAGTGCTCTTTGCCTGAATCTATACTTATGCACACAGCATTTCTAGGCAATGCTATCTTGCACACAAAGCAAAGCATGTAAAAAAAGCATAGTAGAGAAAATTCAACTTGTATTTAGAATAATGAAAAAAGCACTTCTTTTATCTTGGAAACTCAAGACTATTCAGGCCTGGAAGCAAAAGGCTGTATCTTTGATAACTGTGTTTACATATGTTGCAGCCTTAATTCACTATCCAGGCTGTTAGTTACAAGATAAAATGCATCTAGATGTTGTAACAATTTCCCCTTAACTACAGTTTTAGAAACAGGGGCGATATATGAACAATATATTAGAAACTTGTTTATTAAATATTGAGCAAAAACAGGATATGAGCATGAAAATGTAGTTGTCAATAAAGCGTACCCCCAAAAAAATTGTAAAAGGAACTGTTAATTTTCTGGGCTTCGTCTCAGTGTCTTTCTTGACTCATTTGTCATGAATTCTATAACCTGCATGACTTACCTCTTTGGTCATTCACTACATAAGCAGTCTCATGTCAGGTTGATGCTAACCCAGTACCACAAATCAGAGGCTAAGACCTGCTCTTTTAATATGTAATGCTGATCTCTCCTGATAAGAATATTATGCCTGCCCCCTTTTCAGTGCACCAGTTCTGCTGCCAGTGGAGCAAGTATTCCAAAATTGCCCGCAAAACAAAAACTCCTGATGTACTGATATTTTTTCACTGCCTTTTTATCCTGAGTCCTTGATAACATCTACAAGAAATTAAGTTCAAGATATAAAATTGAACTAGTTTTTGTTTTAAAATATTGTAAAATTTAGTTTTAACTAAATATATGGTAAGTTTATAACTCTGAGCTGAAGATAATGAGTTTATGATGTTTGTTATGAGAGGATTAAGCTTAATTACTGTTTCCATACTTAGGAAGTTTGAATGTATTTCTAATTAGTCCAAACTCACCTCATTTGCTAAAGCAAAGGTTCCCCAGTGAATTGCTACAGACTTCTTTGTCTGAACATCAATATGAATTCTTACAGCTTCTTCAGGATTCACATGCTGGTATTTCATAAACCACCTAACAAACACAAAATAACTTACATATTTAATGTAACCTTTTACATTTAAGATACCTGTTCTTTATTATGGTTTATAAATAAGTGGCAAGAAGACTTAAGTTATTCTCATTTGGTCAAAAAGGAAGGTCTATAACTGAATAAGTTAGAAATTGTAGAAATCTTATTTGCTAGACATGCCAGTAGCATTCCATCAACTAACTACAACAGATGTATACAACAGTACTCACATCTACAGAATTTGGAGGGCTATGAGTTCTGTTTTTTTTAATTGGCATTCTTTATAGTCATGAGAAGTTTTCCCAATGTCTTCATCTTAAAGATTTATGGGCCAGCTGCTCTGAAGAAAGTTCATGTTAATGCCACCATAATCAATAAGTATGCAGAATTACATGATATATTTGTCCAGTCCCAGTGGACATGTTCCATAAATCATCACTTAGCAGGACAGTATTGAATAAATACTTTGCTTGTTACTGTAGGTGCAGTCTTTTGAGTGAAATGTCGGACCGGTGTCTAGAGCATCAAAATTACATGGATTCATCTTATAGGATTTGCTATAATTATGGGCCGGTGTCAAAAATATTACTAGTGTAGGGATCAGTGACAGTTAAAGTCTCTCTAGAAGGCAGTACAGAAGCAGAGTTTGCACAACAATGAGAATGCTAGCTTTCATTTCTGAACCTGGTAGTTCATGAGGAGTGCTGGACTTTAATCTCACCATTGTGATTTCTGTTTTGCTTCCTCAACCTACACCCAGGCTTTATTTCTGACATTTTAGTGACTATTTCCTTGAAAACTGCTAAAGCTAGAAATGAATGAATGCCTTATCCCATCTGAAAGATACCATGTCAATAAGTATGCAGAATTACATGATATATTTGTCCAGTCCAGTTATTAATGGTTCACAATCCTGCTGGAAAGGCATAACAAGTGGGGTTCTGCAGGGGTCTGTTTTGGGACCAGCTCTATTCAATATCTTCATCAATGATTTAGATATTGGTATAGAAAGTATGCTTATTAAGTTTGCAGATGATACCAAGCTGGGAGGAGTTGCAACTAATCTGGAGGATAGGGTCATAATTCAAAATGACCTGGACAAATTGGAGAAATGGTCTGAGATAAATAGAATGACGTTTAATAAAGACAAATGCAAAGTGCTCCACTTCAGAAGGAACAATCAGTTTCACACATACAGAATGGGAAGCGACAGTCTGGGAAGGAGTATGGCAGAAAGGGATCTAGGGTTCATAGCGGACCACAAGTTAAATAGGAATCAGCAGTGTGATGCTGTTGCAAAGAAAGCAAACATGATTCTGGGATGTATTAACAGGTGTGTTGTGAGCAAGACACGAGAAGTCATTCTTCCACTCTACTGTGCGCTGGTTAGGCCTCAATTAGAGTATTGTGTCCAGTTCTGGGCACAGCATTTCAAGAAAGATGTGGAGAAATTGAAGAGGGTCCAGAGAAGAGCAACGAGAATGATTAATGGTCTAGAGAACATGACCTATGAGGGAAGGCTGAAGGAACTGGGTTTGTTGATAGCTGTTTTCAGGTATCTAAAAGGGTGTCATAAAGAGGAGGGAGAAAACTTGTTCATCTTGGCCTCTGGGGATAGAACAAGAAGTAATGGGCTTAAACTGCAGCAAGGGAGGTTTAGGTTGGACATTAGGAAAAAGTTCCTAACTGTCAGGGTGGTCAAACACTGGAATAAATTGCCCAGGGAGGTTGTGGAATCTCTATCTCTGGAGATATTTAAGAGTAGGTTAGATAAATGTCTATCAGAGATGGTCTAGACAGTATTTGGTCCTGCCATGAGGGCAGGGTACTGGACTCAATGACCTCTCGAGGTCCCTTCCAGTCCTAGTATTCTATGATTCTATGTGACAAACAGCATATAGAGATCTTTCAATGCTATAAAAGCATTCATCTCTAACTCTAGAGACACTGCAGAATCATGTGAGAACTGAAATACAGGAAAGTCGCGTGGTAATCAGAATGATATAATAGCTCTGTAAATTGTATCCATGTACAAAAAGGGATTTCAGACTGTGATCCCAGTGCCTTTCCTATCCCTGTTTTCTTTTCACATTCTAATAATGCCATGCCATGTGTGTTTTTTAAAAGCTTTTGAGTAAAGCCTGATATAAAACACAACATTTCAGCTTATTTCCCTCTCTTCACTATCTTTTGGCTCTGGTCTACATTTAAATTTAGATTGACTTCACTACATCACTCAAGAGTTAAGCCAGAGGTGGGCAATAATTTTTAACTGGGGACCACTTCAGAAATTTTTGAAGTGGCCCTCAGCCACCTTGGAAGGGGCAGGGCTTCAAGCAGATGGGGTGGGGCCAGGACACTTCCGTGCTTCCTCACTCACAGACCCTGATTAGTCTGGGGGTGGGAGAGCACACAAATTCTTCTGCTGACCTAGCTTCCACCATTCAGGGAGATGAATTATTTACATTAATGGAGAAACCCCTTCTGTTGATGTAAGAAGCATCTGCACTGCAGCTGTGTCACCCATAGCGCACACATGCCCTTGTTCTCCCTTACCATTCCTGCAGCCTTCAAATCTCTTTTGCTCTACATTTCCCACAAAATATTTAGACAAGTGAGAAGTTTTAGCTACAATGTTAATATTAATACACTAACAAACAAGTGGTTTTGAATTCAGTATAACATTTAATTTATATAGTTTACATATCTTTTGGTCATTTGCATACCTTGGCTCATAAGCTCCAATGGGAATAGCTGCAAGATCAAAAGGTCCAAATCTTTTACCTATCTGTTCAAAAGCAACACAGTAACCAGTATCTCCCGCAAAGAAAAACCTATTCCAGGGACCCAAGACAGACCAGCTGCCCCAGAGAATCTTGTCATCATCTGTTGCAGTCCTCTTGCACCAGTGTTGAGAAGGGGTAAAGACAAAAGTAACGGCATCATGTCCGGGGACACAGTTCTCTTCCCACCAGTCCAATTCAATCACATTTTCACAGGCACACTTCTGCATCCATTCTAAAAGACCCAGCGGTACAAACCATCTCAGCTCACTGCCAAAACGCTCATTTAAACTCACAACAGTATTGTGGTCCAAATGGTCATAGTGAGTGTGGCTGATCATCACTGCATCTATTTTGGGGAGCTGATCTACGGTGCATGGAGGTCCTCGGAAACGTTTTGGACCCACAAACTGCGCTGGGGAAGCTCGCTGGCTGAAGATGGGGTCAGTAAGAATTACAAGTCCATCCATTTCCACCATAACTGAGGCATGTCCTAACCATGTGACTCGCATGCCAGTTCCAGTCTTACCAACTAGTTCAGGGTTTGGAATGAAGTAAGGGTTTAACACAGGAAGCTCTTTATCAAGTTCCTAGCAAAACAACAACAAAAAAAGAATTAGAAAGCAAAGCACACACAGAACAAAAAGCGCACCAGGCACCAATTACAAAAAAATGGCTTGCACTTAAGAGTACTTCTTTAATTTCTAAGAAATTTGCAAGTAGGTGCACAAATACAATTTTCAGTGACTCCCATTCTCAACAGCTTCTTATTAAAATCATTAACCTTATTTTAAATAATCATTTAATCTTGCTAGTCCTTAGAACATGCTTTGGAGAGCAGAAAAATTAGGCTTGTGACTCTACAACGGAAGCAATTCAAAGATGTACTGAAAACAAGTTGCAGACTTTCACTGGAATTAAATAGAACTGCTCAGAATTAATGATTCCTAGCAACAAATTCTGCTCTCTTACGCCTATTGCTGTGAAAGAGGATTTTAGTGCTGCTGTTACTACAGTACCTCCATCAATTGGAGTTTGGCGTTTAGGTTAAATATTGCAGCTATAGCTTGTGGATCTGAGAAATATCCTTCCAGAATGCCAGCACAGATTTATTATTACAAGGTACTTATTAAACTGAAGAGACTTTAATCTGATAGGAGGACCACTAATATGCTACCAGCATAATCAATGAATAGTGCTGATAAATTTCTAAGGTGCTGCCAAATAGAGAGGTATAATGCAGCACCACTGCTGCTACATTACTTATAGAGGGTTATCTTAAATATGAAATCCCACGGAGGCTTAATTAAAAATTGAAATATGGACTTCAGTTCTACTGAAACAGTTTTAAAAGGTAATGATTAAGTGTAGTTCTCTGAGTGCTTGTTCATATCAATTCCCATCAGGTATGCATATGCATGACAGCAGGAAGATTTTTTTCCCCTAGCAGAATCCATAGGTTCAGCCCGGGTGCCCCCTTGAGTTGTGCTTTCATGGCACCCAATATAGGGCCTTGCTGACTTGCAACCCCCACAGTTCCTTCTTACCTGCACAAGATAATGTGGCAAGCCGGAAACAGCTTGCAGTGGTAGCAGGGGCTGCTAGAATCTGAAGCTTTTGCAGGGAGTGCTGCACACACAGACTGACCAAATACCCTGGGCATGCATGTTGGGTGCTGTGGCACTAGCAAATTTAAAACGGGTGGATTAATCCTGGAGACCAACACTCAAAATGCTATCAAATCAACTCTATTCATATATATCTATTTCTTAAATAGAGTTCCTAACCCTGCCTTAAATGGATCAAACTCTGAGCCACTATCACTTAAAAAGTGATATATAACTTTATTTTTTCAGCAAAAGAGCTGTCAGTTAGCTGGCTTCACAATCAACCAGTGAAAGTCTAGTATGCGCTTCAAACTGTAAGGAATAAACTCCTGAATTGCCTCCTGACTGCCGAAAAAAATCTTAGTAACTTCTACTGGCTCAGAAGTGCATCACCAAACTGAGGATTTAAGATAAAGTCCAGAACTGTATTTTCTCTCTTTCATTGTGGGGAAGGGGGGAGGGTTTAGGGATTTTTTTTTTACATTTTTATTGTATACAGTACCCCTGAAACTAAAACTTATAAATACTGATGCAAGACAAATAAATAATAATGTCTTTTACCAATAATTGACAGTGTCTTAGTACAAATGTTTGCTCAAATTAGCATCAGTATAAAAATGTACTCTCTCAGAGTATCTAACTTAAGGAGTGTGGCCAACAAAAAGAGGTAATTATAATTTAGCAGGTGTTTTATACCACCCCAAATCTGTTTTAAGCTTTTACCACCATTCAAGCCATACAGTAATATTTTTAGAATGAAATGTCCTATAATACCTCCAGCTTGAATAATGTAGTAGATATCCTACAAATTGTAGACATGTCCTATATCTATTGAAAGAAACTTCAATAATCCGTAACCATGTGAGTTCAGATAAATACTGTTAGTGTATTTCCTAGATTTTCTCTCAACATATAGTCTGAACTGTCGAGATTAATTTATTCCATGTTTATAGGCCTAGCCCACAGATTTAAAGATTTCTGATTAAAACAGTAGAAACAGATAACTTTTGAAAGGAATAATACAAAAAATAAAGAATGCTCAAAAAGGTGACACTGGTGAGTCTCTAGAAACAGTCTAGCATCTGTCTCCAAAAGGAGACTAAGAAGTCTTACTTGAAAATTTTCTTATTTTAAAGATGGGAAATGAGAACGCTCAATACCTCCTCACAGAGTTAGGACCTACATTTTGGAATAATAAACCATTAAGAGTAAGAGTAAAGAGTTACCTGTTTTGAACATGGGATGTTGCTGTTATTTTTTTCCATCAGGGCCCATTTCAAAATGTTTGACAAGGATGGAGATTTCCATGTTGGCCAAGGGTTGATAAACTTTCCATCTTTACTTCTTTTTGATTTAGTTACATCTTCCTCTAATCTGTAATCCAGTCTGAAGCTTTTTCTGGATGTCCTGGAGGAGTCACTGCCTCTGGAACTTTGATTTGAATTTTGTCGTTTCTTTACTGACTCCTTAGGATATTGGTTACATGCAGTCAAAGGTTGCTCTTCATCTGCCTTCTCATCCATGTTTTTTGGTGAAGAGCTAAAGAATTTTTTTTTTAATTAATAAATGTTTTCTTTGACTAACATTGATAAAATTGAAAGCTTTCCCACATCACCATCAAAAAGTAAGCTGCCCTTTCCATTTTGCAATTTAACTTATTTTTCCATACAACTTTATTTTATAAAATACAGTAAACTTCCGATAATACGGCACCTTTAGGACCCAGGGGGTGCCGGATTATCAAATATGCTGAACTATCAGAAGGGGGGGCTATGAGGAGTCTGGGGTGGAGTGTTGGGGGGGGGGATGCGCCCCTTGGTGCTGCGGGACCAACCCGGCAGCACCACAGCTGCTCTGCCCCATCTTCCCCAAGTTAAGCGCTGGTCAGTTTCAGTAGCAGCTGAATCGGGGAAGCCAGGGGCAGAGCAGCTCCAATTGTCCGGCTGCCCGGAGCACTTCCGGGTTCCAGATGGTGCCGGACCATCAGGAGTGCTGGACCATTGGATGCCAGAGCACTGGAGTTTTACTGTAGTTACTATTACAGAGAAAGCTTAAACAACATGTATTAGCAAGTAGCATAATTGAAGCAAGATCTTCCTGGTATGCATAACTTCAGAATGAAATACTAAATATAAAAGGAGATGTTCTTTAATTTCTCATTTTGGAAGAGCACCAAACTCCTCCTAAAGTTTATTTAACACTTTATGTAATTTGATCCTGCAAGGTCATCCTTTTATGACCTAACAAAAGAGGGGTTTTGTTCTGTAATAAAAACTTCAGTATTATATATCAATAAAGATACTTCTGTTTGAAAGACACATCAATAATGCATCTCTTTATACAGGCTGAAATTCTGTAGTCTGGGATTCTCTGGTACAGCAACATCTGGACCATGGATGCTGCTGGACCGGAGATCTCCAGAGGCAGAGGTTGCCAGTGGTTGGGAGCTCTGCTGATCTAGCAGCAGGCAGCCTTTAGGGCTAGTGGTAGGGAGCCTGGCTAGTGGCTTAACCAATATAATTAAAATAAGGCAACTGCCTGAAGAGCGATCCAAGTCCCATGAAACTAGGTATCCCAGGGATGAGCTGCAGAAGTGCGGGGTCCATTGAGGAAGCTGGGTCCCAGACAAGTACAATAAGTCCAATGTCTGTTTTATTTGCAACATTTAGTATTTTATATCTTCAAAGTGTTCTAGAAATGGTAATTTTAACACCACTGTGAGGTTAATAAATATCCTTATTTTGCAATTCGAGAAAAATTAATTTAACTACAGTTCAAGGCCATTTCACAGCAGCAATTAGAATATGGGAGCCAACAGCTCCTAACCCAGGATGTATTCACAACATTGTTATGCAGCATACTCAACATGCATCCTCTAGATTAGGAATTTAGAAAAAAAAAATCCAAACTCAACAGGACTCCAAGGAGTGGGGGGAATCCTGTTAAATTGATGAGTGACTAACAGGTTCCGTTTAATAAACTCTGGTATACACTTATTTTGAATGAAATTTTCAACTCTCTTCCAACGTTAAGACAAATTTGATGTCCAGTTGATTTGGTGTCCAGTTATTTATAACAGAAAAGTACTAAAGATTTGAGAGCTGTGCATGATTAAAAACAATAAGTTACCAGAGGTAGACATGTATTGTACATTGTTTAGAGCAGAGGTGGGCAATAATTTGATGGGAGGCCACTCCAAGACTGTGGTAAGTGGTCCAAGGCCACACTTTTCTATGGTGGGATTGCAGAGTCTGGGATGGAGGTTGAGTGCAGAAAGGAGTTCAAAGTAGGGGACTGGTGTGAAGGAGAGGGTGTGGGTCGGAGCAGGAGTTTGGGTGAAGGAGAGGGTTGTGACCTGGGGCAGGGGATTGCGGTCCAGCAATAAGTGCAGGTTTGAGAAGGGGGTACAGGTGCAGGAGAGAATTCTGGCCTAGGGGAGAAGTATAGGGGGCAGGATCTGGGAGGAAATTGTGACCTGGTGCAGAGAGGAGGGTGTGAAGAGGGTTAGGGCAATGACCAAAGGTAAAAGTAAGCAGGTGCTTTCCAGTACAGTGCACTGGTAAGAGACCAACAGCTGCAGCACATACAGACTCCAGCCCCAGAGCTTGGGTAGCCAGGCAACCTGTCTGTGGCCAGCCCCAGAGTTTGGGTGGCCAATGCTCAGGTGGCATGGGGTAGGGATGTAAGTGACTCGTCGACTATCCAATAAGCATAGTTGACTATCCCTCAACTAGTTGCTTCCCCCACCCCTTGCTGCCTCTGTCAGAGGTGGCAAGGTGGGGGAGCAGGAGCCAGTACTGAGAGGGAGCCAGCTTAAAAGCCGGTTCCTCACAGCACCATCTCTGCAGGGAGCAGGAAAGGCAGGGGAGTAGCAGGGACCAGGCACAAGCCGGGAATCAGCTGATTCTCAGCTTGTGCCTAGTCCCAGGATGCTGCAACTCTACTATTTTAAATATATTAAGAGCCTGCCAGATCTTAATACATGTAAAAGGCTGGTGTGCAGTGGGGGGACCTGGTGCGAGCCGGGAATCAGCTGTCAGTGAGGTTAGCTCCTAGGACTCAGAGCCAATCCTGCTGTGGGTCCCTCACTAATCGACTAATTTACTAGTTGGTGGAAATCCCTAGTGTGGGGGCTACACTCTCAGTCCTGAGCTTCCCCGCACTAGGGATGTTAAAATGTGTTTTTAGGTAAATGTGTAGGGGGAGACAGGAGGTTCTGTGGGAGCTGGTGCTTGCGCCTGCCCCCCCCCCACACACATTGTTCCCTCTGATACTGAGGCAGGGGGGGTGTGTGTGTGTGAGTGAGAGAGGGCTGCGCAGGAGCTGGTACATGTGGGGAACCAGCATGAAAGCTGGCTCCCACCTCCTTTCCCTCCCCCACATGCTGCTGCCTCTGATACAAATGCAACAAAGGCAGCAATGTGGGGGAGACGGGCCTGCATGTAACTATGCTTGGTAACCAATGACCTCAGGATCATCGGTTACCCATTTATACTATCATATCCCTAATGTTTACCAGTTAAAATTAACCGCTGAGGGCTGCTCTAGCCTGCTCGGAGCAGACCGCATCTGTGGCAGGCCAGGCCTGGCCTGGCACATGGTAGGCAGAAAGTGCTCCAGCCCAGCCAGAGCAGCCCCACCCCTGCTCACCCCCGTTTAAGTGGTGAACCAGTTAAACATAACGGTTATCTGATTAAATGGGATTTTACATCCCTATTTTGGAAACATTCTTAAGAATAATATCTTGATTAGATGCTTCAAAACAATGTGAGGGGAATTCTAGCATTCATGAATTAAGACCAATGGTACTGAATTAAGACTGATGGTACTGACTAGAAGTAACAATAGAAGGTACCAGCATCCTGAATGGAAACTTCCCTTTACAATTCCAAAGCTGCGACAGCTTTTATCACAGTCAAGAACCATTCCTACACTCAGACTGGGGAATGTGCTATTTATAGTGATATTAAACAAGCCCCCCATATATTCTGGGCTACAAATCAAGCTTGAACTCAGATAGCCAGAGGCACTGGTACATTAACTTAGTGATTTCCAAACTTTTAAAAGGATGGTTTTAAAAGAGGCCACTAACTTCTATACAAACAATTTAAAAGAAATGTTTCTCCATTGTACTTAGCCTTATTTTAATCAAATTAGCTAAGAGATGTGATGTTCCTTTGGGAAAAAACACTCTTCAAGTACCCAAATGGCTACAATTAACTCTTTCCTTGCATAATAATGTACAAAAATCTATGTTTGTGTAGAATTACAGCTGAGATTTTATACACAGGCAAAAACAGTTTATTGTTACAGGTTGCACCTCTCTAGTCCAGCACACTAAGATCCAGCAAGATTTTTTCTTCCACAATTTGATCTGAGGAAGTGGGTCTGGCCCACGAAAGCTCATCACCTAATAAACCATCTTGTTAGTCTTTAAAGTGCTACATAGTCCTGTTTTTTGTTTCAGCAAGACTTTAAATAGCCAGATGTCCATTGATTTATCATGGGTATGGCTAGATTTTCCACGGTCTCAAAGTTTGTCTACACCCACCAGGGCTGGCTCTCAGTGTTCTGTGATGTGATTTAGGTCTATTTTACCCCTAAATGCCTGGTAAGAGCCTAGTAAGCAGTGGAAGTGTCGGTAATGCTGCTAGACAAGATTGACATCCTGTGATTCGTCAAATTCTCTGTTTCGGCACTGGTCAGGCCGCAAAGATGCCAGACTAGAGAGGTGCAATCTATAACAACCCATCAAAACTGTACATATTGGTGGAGCTCTGACTTTTGAGGTAGATCCCTCTTTTCCTTCGATAAGAACAGCTAATTGCAAATAATTGAGATTGCTTATTGATGCCACCCCAGACCCGTCATAGCCCCCCCTTCCGATAGTCCGGCTCTGCCCCAGGCGTCCCTGATTCAGCCGCCGCTGGGCAGTTTCCTATAACAACCCATCAAAACTGTACATATTGGTGGAGCTCTGACTTTTGAGGTAGATCCCTCTTTTCCTTCGATAAGAACAGCTAATTGCAAATAATTGAGATTGCTTATTGATGCCACCCCAGACCCGTCATAGCCCCCCCTTCCGATAGTCCGGCTCTGCCCCAGGCGTCCCTGATTCAGCCGCCGCTGGGCAGTTTCAGCAGCGACCGGCCCAGCAGCTGAATCGGGGAAGTCAGGGGCAGAGCAGCTGGAGTGCTGCCGGGTAGCACTGCCCCGTAGCACTGCCCCTCAGGGCTGCGGGACCAACCCGCAGCACCCCAGGTGTCCCCAAGTCAGCCGCTGCTTAAACTGATCAGGGGCTGACTCCAGGAGTGGCGCTGCGGGACCAACCCGGCAGCACCCCAGCTGCTCTTGGGGACACCTGGGGCAGAGCAGCTGGGGTGCTGCCGGGTTGGTCCCGCAGCGCCACTCCTGGAGTCAGCCCCTGATCAGTTTAAGCAGCGGCTGACTTGGGGACACCTGGGGTGCTGCGGGTTGGTCCCGCAGCCCTGAGGGGCAGTGCTACGGGGCAGTGCTACCCGGCAGCACTCCAGCTGCTCTGCCCCTGACTTCCCCGATTCAGCTGCTGGTCAGTTTTAGCAGCGGCTGAATCAGGGAAGCTGGGGGCAGAGCAACTCCAATGGTCCGGCCTCCCGGAGCACTTCCAGGTTCCTGATGGTGCCGGACCATCAGGAGTTTTACTGTATATGGTTAACCGATGAGCCTAGGCTCCTCAGTTAACCTTCATGGTTACATGCAGGATCCCCACTTTTAAGAAGGCTCCTTGCGCACACCAGCTATTGGGGAGCCAACAACTGCCCCACATGTAACTGCTGAAAATTTCAGCAGTTACATGGTTACAACACATTTTAACATCCCTACTACAAACAACAGAACTTTGATAATAGGACTCTTCAATCTAGCAGATAAAGTTATAACAAGTAGAGCCCTGCAAATCTGAGATACCTGCAGATAGGAAGTAAGTGGGTATGCACATCCATATCAGTGAATGTGGCTATCCAGGGCTCACTTTTGCAGATGTGGATACCAATTTTGTATCTAGTACCTTGCAAATTTGCAGATATCTGGATGTGGATATCTGTAGATCGTTTTTCCAGATACCAATTCTGTATCTGTGCAGGGCTCGAATAACAAGATGCCATCGGTGGACGATGAAGGTGAACAAAATTCAGGCTAGAAATAAGGTACATATTTTAAAAGAGGAAGCTAATTAATCATTAGTACAATTTGCCAAGGCTAACAGTGGATTCCTCGTCACCGGACATTTTAAAGTCAAGACTGGATATTTTCTTTAAAGAAAATCTAATTCAAACAGGAGCTAATTCAAGGAAGTCCTATTGTCTGTGTTATATAATAGGAAAAATTAGATAAGGGACGGGGAACCTTTTTTGGATCAGAGACTGCTTATCCATAGAAAAATCAGTAAGGGGCTTCACACAAGTGAGGAAAAAAAACCTCACTGAAGTGGCTCCTGATGAAGAAGGGGAAAGACACCTCCTCACCCTTGCACACCAAAACCTAGGGGGCCCAGGCTAGTAGATTTTGCGTGCTCCAGCCCTGCTGTGGGGTAGAGGAGGGGCTTGAGTGCCAGCCTGGGCTCCCTAATGCTGTGGGGGAGCCCTGAACCTTGGAGCCACATCCAGGCAAGCTGGGGGCAGCATCCAGCTCCTGGGCCTGGGGTTCCCTACCTCTTGATTAGATTATCACAGTAGTCCCTTCTGGCCTTGGAATCTACGAAGTAATTTTACATTAAAAGAGCTCCAAAAGTGTCTTCTTTAAACTACATTTGATCCTGCTCTGAAATCTTTATGTTGGACTAAATTATCGGTCTCCAAAGAGAAGAGGGACTAATCATACTGATAACAAAATGGGTGCCAAGGCATTTCAGGCCCTGCAGTTATCCGTCTGCTAACATGGTTTCCAATTGATGCACATACATGGTTTTCATTAGCATTCCATAATTACTGGAGTGGAGAACAGACCTCATCAGCCACAACGGATTGAATACTTAACCTTCATACATGCATAAAAAAATTACAAATTTATAAACAGTTCGTCTAGTCAAGTATTCTCTGAATTGTATATTCCTTGAAAGTTTCTCTTGTCTCTATGATTCTCTTAGAAATAATATGACGACTATAAATCTGGGTGTCTGAAATGTAGCAATTTTGCTTTCTACAGCAATTTTGTACTACTTAGCATACAACAAGATAAAGCAATTTTCTTTAAGGAAAGAGGAACATTTTGGAATAATCCAGCATGCTTCCACTATTGGCTTAAAATAAAATCTGACAGATTGTCTTCAGAATTTCTTGGCATTCTAAACAAGAAAGCTTCTAAATCTGAGATTTGGTATCTATGCCTCATTTATTTTGAAGTACTCAAATCAAGGATGAGTCAACACTTCCTCCCACCTTCTTGAGCTTACCTATGAGGTAATTTTATTTTTCTAGCACCAAGCAGCCCCCTATTATTATTTTAAGTCTCCAGATTGTTTGTCAATATGTATATGTCAGCTAGATGTTGCGATCAACCAGCCTTCTGTTAAATCCTATCTGTGGCTTTTTCTACACTTAAAAGTTTTAAGTACAGCAGTTCATTAATGCAGAAGTGTAGTCACGGCAAGAGCACTAGGACAGGGCTATCCCAGCACTCTGTGTAAACCACCTCCACAAGAGGGGTAGCTAACTGCTCTGGAATTGCAGCTCCTAGTGCTGTAGCCCAGTTTACTGTGGTGCTTTACAATGCTGTAACTTGCTGCACTTGACGGAGTGTGTGTGTGTGCTTTTTCACACCCCTGAGCCAGAAAGTTGCAGCACAGTAAGGTGGCAGTGTGGACTTAGCCTGTAGGGGGTGGGGGACAGCAATAAACAGACTTTAAAAAAAATCCTGTGAGATCATCCTACTAGGTAGACTAGAGATGTCAATGTGTAGTTGACTACATGATTAACTGACAAGCCTGGGCTTATCGATTAATCCTATAGACTACCCACATTCCACCCCCCCTCCCCCCATATGTTGCCTCTATATCAGAGGCAGTAAGGGGAGGGAGGGAGGAGCCAGCACCCGTGGAGAAACGACATACCAGTAGGCAAATACTTGATATATTTCAAATGCACAAATGGGATGCAAATACTGTTGGACTGGTATGAACATTTAAACAGAGCAGGAGGGTTTATTTAAATTAAGAAATATTTTAACAGCCAGGTGTGTTTAATGATAAAAATGAATCATCAGTATGTAGAAAAATAACGTAGCAGAGAAATCTGTGTTGAGAGAAGATTACACTTACACGGTGTCAAGAAGGATTCCAGAGTACGTCTACACAGCAGCTAAACATCCGCAGATCAGTAAACACAGGTTCAGACTGCAGGGCTGAAAAATTGCTATGCAGACATCAGGACTTAGTGTCCCGGAGCATGAGAGGAGGGAACATCCCAGAGCCGGAGCTTCCACTCAGTCCAAACATCTACGCAGCAATATTTAGCTCTGCAACCTGAGTTCTGATCACTGGCCAGCTGCGTCACAGGCCTTTTATTTCAATGTTGATGGATACTCAGAGGGAAGGGAGGGGCAATATTAACTGATAAATACATTGTGGTGGTTTGGTATTAGTTGGGGACTCAGTTCATTCAGCAATATACCAAGGTTTTCAGGCCACAATAGTGGCCGGCGTGAGGTGGGGGTGGGCGGAGGGGAGGGGAGGGGGATGCAGGAAGGAAAAGGTTCATGCCAAACAAGAAGGATTGTGGCTTAGGAGGGGCATGGGTTGGAGAAAATATGCACTTTGGCCTCACACGTGGGCTTAGTCCTTGAGCTAGTAGGTGTTGGATCAATTTCACAAGTCCAGCTAAAAATTGACAAACAGCTTAAGATATACTTGCCGTAGTTCCCAATTGGCATTAATCATTAACTGTTAGGGAAACAGTGATGTGTTCAGTAAAATGTTAAAATGGAATTTACTTCACACCTTTTTCAAGTAGAAAATTACAAATACATGTGGTCAGAAGTATTTTTCCTAAAAAATGTAATTTTAAACATTAAACACTTCATATTTGAAATTTTCTTTTAACTTCAGTCAGGAAAATGAATTTATTTGCAAATATTAGGAGGTGTGGAAAGAAGTGCCCCCTGCTATGGTAACTTTCAAGTCACTGCCAGCTTGATTTCACTCACAGTTCTTTTCTTTCATTGTTCTTTAGCACTGAAATTGCTTAGGGCACTAATGGATACTTTCAGACTAGATTATTAGGAATTTTGTTAAACTTTCATTATAAAGCACAAACACTTGACACTGTTCAAACCCATAAGGACAGCAGATTGGCTGAACATTCCTAGCCCTACAATTTTGCCTCAAGCTGTGGAACTAACTGGTCTTTCAAAGGATGTTTTTAGCATATTGGACTGTTCCATTTTAAAACTGCACGGAGTTTGTTCAAGCTATTTCATATTTTAATTACTAGTGAGAAACTGCATGGTACCCTTATGTAATTATTACAATGCCTAAAAAAACCTACCACACAATTCTCTACCATACTTAGAAGTATACATTTTATATCATGGTGCTTCCCTACAAGTATGAACAGGAAACACTAAGTGATTTTAAAATATCTGTTGTTCCACTATGAACACTGTAAAACCAGAGTAACTGATTTGATTTAAAAAATTAAGTAAGCAGTAAACATGCATCTTTAAGCCGGCATGCAAAGGAAGAAGGTACTAATTATTGTGATCTACATCTGTTTCATGAATATGAATAACATGAATTTCTTACAGTTTATTGTCAAAATAAACATTCACCAAAAACATACTGCTCCGAAACTATTTGTCTCTTTTGCTCTGTTACTACATACAGGAAACATTAAGTTACTGTACTAAGAACTTAAAGTATGTTAATTTTAAAGTCTAATTGGGACTAACTGCTAACACAGCTAAACACTGAACATTTTTAATAAAATAAAAAATATTAATGAAATTTAAAACATTTAAAAGTCAGAAAATTCAGAGTTAAGGAACCTACAGCAACATTTACTCACAGCACATAGACAGAAAAAAAATACTACATAAAACCTAGAGTCATTATGATCCACCCAATGTAAAAGACAGAATATTGAGTCCAAAAACAGCAGTATCAAACACAGAGAACTTCCTCCAGTGCAACTATGCTGGATGGCTTGCTGTTCCCTGATCTTTCTTGCATGGCAGAGAAGGAGCAGCAGTTCCCACCCCCTTCCCTGACTCTGCTTCCTTATGTTCACCATATAGTTTGCACAACAGAGTATAGTCATTTACACCCTGATTCAGCCAAGCTAAAATTCAGCCCTAAATATGTATATAAATGTGTTCCACAATGTAAATAATAGGGATGTTGGATATTGATTAATTTAATAATTGTGTAACCACATCAAATCTTAGTCCTTACACATCATTTTATACTCTCAGGAAGGGGAAGCGGGGGTGGCAGCCAGTATGCTCCTGACCCCACTTCCAGGGAGCCCCCTGAGATCCCATACTTGCTTCCTCTGTATCAGGGGCAGCAGGCTGGAGCCAGTCCATGAAGGGAAAACCAGCTCCCTTCACAGACTGGTTCCTGTGTGCTGCCCCATACAGCGTGCCTCTGATACAGAGCCAGCTCCCGTCTTCCCCACCCCTTTGATACAGGCTTATCAGTAAATCGTGTAGTCAACTATGGGTTGACATTCCTAGTAAATACTGTAATGATTTACATTTAACCAGAATGTAATACAAAATACAAAAAGAAAACAGTGCATATCAGTGATATAGATTCCAACAGCAATGATAACTTAGCTGGTGTAGGGGGCAGATCTGCAATTGGATTGGCATACATGAACCCTTGTATTTTCATAGCATCCCAATAAAATCAACAGAGCTCTGTATGAGCACAAAGATCCTGCAATTGATTTGTATGCGCAGACTTAACTGATTCCATCACTACAGAGTTTCAGAGGATAGCCATGTTAATCTGTAGTTGAACCAACTTTAAAAACAATGAATAGTCCTGCAGCACTTAGAGACTAACAAAAATGTAGATGGTAACCAGCTAAGTTATCATTGCTGTTGGAATCTATATCACTGATATGCACTGTTTTCTTTTTGTATTTTGTATTACATTCTGGTTAAATGTAAATCATTACAGTATGATTTACAGCTTT